CATGTTAATGGTATGGTTACAGGAGTCATCACCCCATCTACTAGGTGAAAGGTCCTGTGCATGAAAGGAAGCACTGGTGCTTACTGATGAAAGCAAGAGATGGTACATCAGAAAACCTGGGTTCTGTACCCCACTCTGCCACTGACTTGTGGTGATCTTAAGTCACTTGAGCAAACTATGCTTTACGGTCTCTAACAGTCAACTGGAGATAACATTTCCCTACCAGTAACGTACTTGGAGATGCTCTGATTGAAGGCACTACAATGGCCAACTATTTAGTGGGGCACTCGAATACACCCATCAGAATTAAGACATTTCTTGGTGAAATGTCTGAGCCAAGGAACAAATCCTAAAAGCTGATAGAGAGGCTTGGCCCACTTTAACTGTGAATAGTACTGTTCAACATGGTTACAAAGCACCTAACATCCATATATTCCCCACAAGCTTTACAAATCATAGAATCATAGACTATTAGGGTTGGAAGAGACCTCAGGAGGTCATCAAGTCCAATCCCCTGCTCAAAGCAGGACCAATATAAACTAAATCATCCCAGCCAGGGCTTTGTCAAGCCAGGCCTTAAAAACCTCTAAGGATGGAGATTCCACCACCTCCCTAGGTAACTCATTCCAGTGCTTCACCACCCTCCTAGTGAAATAATGTTTCCTAATATCCAACCTAGACCTCCCCCACTGCAACTTCAGACCATTGCTTCTTGTTCTGTCATCTGCCACCACTGAGAACAGCCTAGCTCCATCCTCTTTGGAACCCCCCTTCAGGTAGTTGAAGGCTGCTATCAAATCCCCCCTCACTCTTCTCTTCTGCAGACTAAATAACCCCAGTTCTCTCAGCCTCTCCTCGTACGTCATGTGTCGTAGCCCCCTAATCATTTTCACTGCCTTCCGCTGGACTCTCTCTAATTTGTCCATATCCCTTCTGTAGTAGGGTGACCAAAACTGGAAGCAATATTGCAGGTGTGGCCTCCCCAGTGCTGAATAGAGGGTAATAATCACTTCCCTCAATCTGCTGGCAATGCTCCTACTAATACATACCAATATGCCATTGGTCTTTTTAGCAACAAGGGCACACTGCTGACTCATATCCAGCTTCACGTCCACTGTAATCCCCAGGTCCTTTTCTGCAGAACTGATGCTCAGCCAGTCGGTCCCCAGCCTGTAGCAGTGCATGGGATTCTTCCTTCCTAAGTGCAGAACTCTGCACTTGTCCTTGTTGAACCTCATCAGATTTCTTTTGACCCAATCCTCCAATTTGTCTAGGTCACTCTGGATCCTATCCCTACCCTCCAGCATATCTACCTCTCCCCCCAGTTTAGTGTCATCTGCAAACTTGCTGAGGGTGCAATTAATCCCATCATCCAGATCATTAATGAAGATGTTAAACAAAACCAGCCCCAGGACTGACCCCTGGGGCACTCTGCTTGATACCGGCTGCCAACTAGACATCGAGCCATTGATCACTACCCGTTGAGCCTGACAATCTAGCCAGCTTTCTATCCACCATTAATTCTTACCTCATTTTTGAGAGGTAGGTGAACAATTCCAACTTGAAACGGAGACATGGAGAATAAGTGTCTTCTCCAAAGGTTGCAGAGAAGTAACAGAACTGGGGATAGCACACAGGCATTTTAACTTCCAGTCCCTTGCTCTAACCATTAGAGGTGCTTCTTCTTTGTGGATGCTTTCAAGCACCGTAACAGTCAGACAGCATATAAATACTAAGTATTGCAGGAGCTGCTCCTTTGGGCAATAGTGGCAAAATATCATTTAAGGTATAAAAAGGTCACTAGGCTTGACATAATTGAGCAATCACTGATAGGTGGTTGCTCAATGGCTCTGTCACTATGATTTATTATGCTGCTTGTTTGCTTTAAATAAAACTGTAAACTCTACCCCAGGGAATTTTTTCCTAAAATGGAATATGGACGATGCTTCAGTTTTTGAAAAAAACCAGTATCCACGTATGCAGTGTTGGTGAAGCTGCATTGGTCCCAGGATATGAGAGAGACAAAGGTGGGAAAAGTTATCGGACCCACTTTTGTTGGTGAGAGAGAGAGAGGAGCTTTTGAGGACCTGAAGAAGGGCTCTGTGTAACTCGAAAGCTTCTCTCTCTCACAAGCAGAAGTTGGTGCAATAAAAGATATTACCTCACCCGCCTCGTTTCTCAGAGCCTGTGGACTCTCAGAAAAATAAAATTATATAGCTCCAGAGACATGAGGTAACAGAGTTCTGCTTTAACCTCACTGGGTGGGACCAGACTGCAACCCGACGGACACCCCATATCAGTAGGGGGAGGAAACCAGGGATAAATGAGCACATCGTGGCCTACAGTGTTGTACAAGACAGTCTTGCGCCAATGCTATTTCAGTTCTTTTTCCCCCTCCCTTGGGGGCAGGAGCAACTGATACAACCGCAGCTCCTTCACTCAGGGCCCTCTGCTTGGGTAAGGTAGAGATGAAAGGCTGAAGTCTCATTGGGTTACCTTGCAAGTTGTATCTTTGCCGTGCAGTTGCTCACCAACTGGTAGCGGATCCAACACTCAGCAGTACCTGCCCCAGGGAGCTCAGCATTATCTCCTGCTCAGGACAGGTTTTACTTCCTGTTGGGCTGCCCCTGAGGCATGCCTTTGCACGCTGTTGCTCCACATGCCAGGGAAGGGCTCTCCCTCCTGCTGCAGCTTGCAGCTACTAGGAGACTCCCTTCTCATCTGCTGCAGCTCCAGCACCAAATCCCCGGGGGGGGGGGGGGGCAAGAGCTTCAGTGCAGCCCCTTTCTGCTGTTCTTCCTCTTCCTCTGGGGAATCAATTGCTTGAAACTTAAGAGCACAGCCTCTCCCCTTCCTCTCTCATCCCTCATTCCAGCTCTCCCTTCAGTTGCATACGTGACTGGAAGGGCATAAGGAGGGGGTGGCGGAGTGCGCACTCGCAGGTGTTGCAGCTCAGCACAGGCATTCATTCATTCCACACATGGGAAAATACTACTTCCCCTCCCTTCTAATAACAGGTGCATGGGGAGGCCCAGTCAGTCCAGCAGAGGACTGTGTTGGGGGCAGGGCCGGCTCCAGGCACCAGTGTAGCAAGCAGGTGCCTGGGGCGGCCAATGAAGAAGGGGGCGGCACATCTGGCAGTTCAGCGGCGGGGCCGTCACTCCCTGTTGGAGCAAAGGACCTGCCGCCAAATTGCCGCTGTAGAATGAAGCGGCGCTAGAGCTGCCGCCGAATTGCCGCCGATCGTGGCTTCCCCCCCCCCCACCGCTTGGGGCGGCAAAAACGCTAGAGCCGGCCCTGGTTGGGGGAAGCCTTACTGCTGTCAACCCATTATGGCTTTGCTAGACTGGCAACCCCCCTCCCCCACCACCTTTTGCTGTAAAGATGATGGGAAAATAATACACTTAGGTGGATGAGGCCCAAGTCCTCCCTTCATATGCAAAGATCCCACGTAGATGGAGATGAGGAGCAGAGCTCTGGAGAGGGTTGAGGGTGGGCACCCCACCCTAACAAAAGGAGTGGTGCAAGGTGGGCGAGGTAATACTTTTTATTGAACCATGGTTTGTTGGTGACAGAGAAGCTTTTGAGCCATACAGAGCTCTTCCCGGGGTCTGGGAAAGGTACTCCCAGCAAAATGCAAGGTGGAACAGATTGTTTAACATAAAGTACTTAGCACATATTGTAAGGGACCATTCATAGAGTGGCCCATTAACACCTCTGCAGGCACAGGACAAAACGAGAAGGGTTAGTGGGTTACAGATCATTGTAATAATCCATAAATCCAGTGTCTGTTCAGTCCATGATTTTTAGTGTTTAACATGCTAAACAATCTGCTCCACCATGCATTTTTCTGTAAGGCTAGCAGCCCCTCCGTGACCTGAAGAAAAGCTCTGTGTGGCTTGAAAGCTTGTCTGTCTCACTAACAGAAGTGGGTCCCTAAACCTCACCCTCCTTGTCTCACTAATTTCCGGGGACGGGCATGACTATAACTACCCCGCATGCAAAGAGTAGTGTCAGTCTGCACAGTGGTTGAATCCTACGTGCGTGAGTGGACCCTACCACTACTTCCATCCCAGTAGAGCTAGTGCTACGGTGCAGGGCCCCAGGGGTCTCTGTGTTGCCTTGATCCAGCCCTGGGCCTCAATTTGGTCCATCAGTGCTTCTCAACCTTTCCAGAATACTGTACCCCTTTCAGGAGTCTGATTTGTCTTGCGTACCCCAAAGTTTCACCTCACTTAAGAACTACTTGCTTACAAAAATCAGACAAAAATATGAGTGTCACAGCACACTTACTGAAAAAGAGTAAGTGTTTTTACCATGTAACTATAAATAAATTGATTGGAATATAAATACTTACATTTCAGTGTATAGTATACAGAGGAGTATAAACAAGTCATTGTATGAAATTTAAGCTTGCACTGACTTCCTAGTGCTTTTATGTAGCCTGTTGTAAAACTAGGCAAATATCTAAATGAGTTGATGTACCCCTTTGAAGACCTCTGGGTACCCGCAGGGGTATGCATGCCCTGGGTTGAGAACCTCTCTGTTAAACTGCAGGAACAAACAGTAACTTATCTGCAAATCCCATAGCTTTTTTAAAGGGAAACCTAGGCCCGTGTGCACGCTCTCCCTAATCTCATGGGTGATTATTGGAGCATCCTACCTTTCTCGTCCCTCTTGGACAAAGGCAGTTTATTAGGCTGGCAATGGAGGAAGGGGGGGGGAAGGGGGGGGGGGGGAAAATCCTTCAAGTCTCAGTGGAGACTGAAATTAGAAAATCTGGTCCTCAGGAGCTGTCTGTGACCCCCAATACAAAGAGTCTGGAAGCCAATCCAGACCTAACTATCTGTATGTGTTTGGAGATTGAAACAGGCGGGAAAAGTTTGTTCCAAGTCCCCCCCCCCCCCCCCCCCCCCCCCCTCCCCCCCTGAGAGCCTCCCCCCCCAATTATTTTCTTTCCACTCCCAGTTTGCTTCTGACATCATTCATCCAGGGAGGGAGGGCTGGAGAGAGTCAGAGTCAGACCTTCAAAACAACCCAGAGTCCCGCAGCATCTTCCCCTCGGATCTGCCTTGCTCGCCACCGTCTCCCTGCTCAGATCTCTGGGCAACTCCTGAGGCCACAATCAGCCCGTGAGTAGCCTCGCTGGTTAGTGAGGGAGGGGTTGGTGGAAGTATTGCATTTTATTTTGAGATAAAGGTTTTGCAAGCAGTGCTGGCTGCCAGATGGGATTTAGTGGAGGGGGAGAGGAAAGGGATCTCTACACTGCTGGAGGGAGAGGAATTGCTTTTCCAGCAAAGAAAGGGAGAGACCAAGAAAGCAGGGGTTTGTTTAGAACAAACATTTCTAGAAATGGCACATCCACAAGTACTTTTATTTAGGCTGCTGAGCTGGTCCTTCTAAAGTTGGCACTTAAAGAGGTGTTGCACTTCTCCTGTGAAACACTGCCTGGGGGGGCCTTGAAAACTATTCACTTCCCCGGAGAATGGGGCAGCACTTTGGAAAGCTTTTAATTTCTCTGTCAAACTATCTTGCTTTTGAAATTTTAGACTTAAAAAAAAATTGAGAGTCTTCATCGGAAGATATTGCTCAGCCTATCAAAATCCAGGAGGCACTTGGGGGAGGAGAGGGAGGGCAGGAGAAACTTGAAATTCACTTTATTGCAAGTAACTTAAAGCCTGGACAATACAATTGTAAACTTTTTCTGGGATAGTCTCTTTGTATGTGATTCACTGCGGGGTTTGCTATACTCCAGCAAGACCTCGGGCTGATCTTGACTACTGTGCCCCCTCTAGTGGAAGCACAAAATATTTAAATGTAATTCAGTACAGATTTTTGTCTTATGAAAGTCTTGCTGGTGTTAAATGTTTTTTCCTCTTGAACTAGACTATAGTTTTTAAAAGCCATCTGCCTTCCTACAGCTGCATGCTGGTGCCTCTTTCCAGATGTGCTGTCCTCTCTCCTTCAGAGGGACTAATTGTCAGATCCAGCCAAAGGGCCTTTAGTAATTTATGTTGCTCATAACCCTCCGTACTAAATGTTAGAGGTTGTCTTGTTTGGAGATATCTGCTCAGAATGTTCCACAGCCCTCCCCAGTTCAGCCAGGTAACACTCAGGAAGCTACTAACTCTGTTCATGCTGCCAACAAGAAATGTTCACCTGCACTGAGGCAGGACCAAGTAAACCTAGACCCATGGTTCTCAACCAGGGGTATGCGTACCCCTAGGGGTATACAGAGGTCTTCCAGGGGTACATCACCTCATCTAGATATTTGCCTAGTTTTACAATAGACTATATAAAAAGCACTAGTGAATTCAGTAAAAACTACATAACCTCTCTTTATTAACAATCACCCAAAACAGACTGCACACGCTACACATACAGTGCTCACCACTCCCAATAAAACAGATGAACTTTTCTTGATGGCCAGTCAGAATCAGGTCCATCTGGGGGACTCCAGTTTCAGCACAGTGTCATTGGCAGAGTGGTGAGGTCTGGCAGCTCTGAGCTTTGGGGCTATGTCCTGGAGTTGGTTTATAGTTGTTTGTACTGCTCTATATACTATACAGTATACACTGAAATGTAAGTACAATATTTATATTCCAATTGATTTTCTAATTATATGGTAAAAATGAAAAAGCAAGCAATTTTTCTGTAATACTGTGCTGAGTCACTTTTGTATTTTTATATCTGATTTTGTAAGCAAGTAGTTTTTAAGTGAAGTGAGACTTGGGGGTACTCAAGACAGATCAGACCCCTGAAAGGGGTCCAGTAGTCTGGAAAGGTTGAGAACCACTGACCTTGACCATCCTTGACACGTATTTGTCCAACCTGTTCTTAAAAGCCTATGAAGATGGGGATTTGACAACCTTCCTTGGAAGACTATTCTAGAGTCTTTATAACCTTTAGAGTTAGAAAGTTTCTCCTAATATCTAACCTAAATCTCCCTTGCTGCAGATTAACCCCATTACTTCTTCTCCTGCTTTCAGTGGATGTAGAGAACTGACCACTGGCCTCTTTATAACAGCCCTTAACATATTTGAAAACTTATCAAGTCTCTTGAGACTTCTCAAGACTAAACATGTGCAGTTTTTTTAAACCTTTCCTCATAGGTAAGATTTAGAAAAATCTTATTTTTTGTTACTATCCTCTGGACTCTCTCTAATTTGTCTACATAGTGCGGAGTAAAGAACAATTATCTACTGTGTCTTACATACAATACACCCCAGAATGAGATTTGTCTTTCACACAACTGTATCATACTGTTGGCTCATATTCAATTTGTGATCCACCATTAACTGGAGATCCTTTCCAGCAGTCCTACCACCTTGCCAGTTATTCCCCATTTTATAGCTATGAATTTGCTTTTTCCTTCTTTGCATTTGTCTCTCGAATTTCATCTTGTTGAATTCAGACCCAATTATCCAATTTGTCAAAGTTGTTTTGATCCTAATCCTGTGCTCCAAAGTTCTTGCAACCCCCTCCCACCTTGGTGTCATCTGCAATTTTTAGAAGCATATTCTCCACTCCATTGTCCAAGTCATTAATTAAAATTTTGACTAGTACCAGACCCAGTACTAACCCCCTGAGGGACCCCACTAGATACACCCTCTCAGTTTAACAGAAAACCATTGATAGTTACTATTTGAGTGTGGTCTTTCAACCAGTTGTGCACCTAGTAACTTCATCATGCTTACAGATTGATTGTTTAATAATTGGTTCCAGTATCTTTCCAGGTGTTGAAGTTGGTGAATTCATTAATATGCAGTTGACAGTAACTGCTTGTTAACAGGGTGTATAGAGACTTCCCTCAAAAATTTGATTGTGCATCTCTTAAATATTACATGAATGCAGGTTTGAAACAAGCTCCTCCTGCATTTTGTAGATGCCTGAGCATTCTGTTTATTTGCAGCCTGGGTTCTCTGAAGCATCTGATGAGGTAGATACCACTATTACTTCAGAGGATACCAGATACTCCTGTGGAATGGCTGTAAAAATACATACCAGATCTTCCTAAATGGGACTGAAAATCCACAACCTTATTTTCAATCTCGATCAACAATGAAAACCAGCATATTATACTCACTTTCAGACTCATCAGCCCGCATTAGTAGGACAGCTATACAGAACAGGACTGATCATCTGCCTAACGAATGCTCTGTTTGTTTGCCAAACAAAATATTTGTAATGCATCTTCTGGAACAGCCTGACCTCCAGCTTTGGCGTCAGAGGTTCTGGTGTCCAGGCAGGCGCTGCAGTTAGAAAAAGGAAGACATTGTAGACTGTCTTGGGCCAATAGCAGTCTAACATGACAAATGTCTTCAGAGATGAAATGTGGCATAAACATATACGGTGTAGTAGATCCATGAATCTGAGTGCGGGAGCAAACCAGATACTAGTGTGCTATCTTGGGACTTGCTTTGTGATTGCCATTAAAAATGCAATGTTTTCATGCCAAATGAAATGCCAAAGGAATGCAACAATTGTAGGTTTCCCCACCAGTCAAAATGGGAACAGAAACAATATGTATCTTTCAGATACATCTTAAATCCCCATAAACATTCACTATTATAAAGTTATCCGGAAACTGACATCCTTGTGCAGGGGAAGGTAAAAATTTGAGACTAGAGAAGAACTTGGAATGAAGAGTCGCTGATGCCTTTTACATCACTTTGTGCACTTAATTCTTGTTTTGCTGTTTGGGATACCAAATGCTTGAAGGGGAATTCACCATTCATGATTGCACAATGCTGGCTGCATGCCAAGTTGTGCTTATGAACTATTGTGCTAACTCAGTGGTTTTCAACTTTTTTCATTTGCAGACCCCTAAAAAATTTCAAATGTCGGCATGGACCCCTTTGGAAATCTTAGGCATAGTCTGTGGAAGCCCAGAGGCCACAGACCATGGGTTGAAAGCCACTGTTCTAACTGAACAATAACCCCTAAAATACTCCAGGTGACGCATCAGCATGCCATACGTACCTTTAGAGGATGATCAGTTTCTAGGTCATGTGTCTGTAGCATTTGAGATGCAACACTGGCGGATAGTATTATTTCAGTCAGAAGCAGCAGAATGCTGGTAGATAGAACCCTGCTAGTGACACCCTTCCTCTGCAGGCCTAGGAGAGACTTATTATAGGCAATAAAGCAGTATTGATTCACAGATCTACTGTTTGGTAATGTTGTTATGCTGTCAGAAAAACCTTGGTGAAAGAGGCTGGGGTTCTACAGACACTCATGGGTCACCATTGAGGGCAATTGGATAATGCCAGTAGACCAGAACTCTACAGTTAAACTCTTCCTTATCTGCTGGTCAGATCACTGCTACTGTTGAAACCACAGCTGGCTCCATTAATTGAAAGGTGCCCCCCCAAAGACTGACAATTCTGCATATGCCTACATCAGCTTTACTTGCTGCACTTTTTACTCCCCCCTTTCTGTGTCAGGGACTCCTGCTTCATAGCTCCTTCTGTAGCCATCCCCTCACGCTTCCATACTTTTGTTTGTTGTCCCTACTGTGTAAAGCTGGCATGAGTCTGCCCTCACATCTGTTAGGATACGGAAGGTGCTCAGACACTAGAGTGATGAGGCACGCATAGGTACCAGAATGAACAAATCCCTCCTTAAGAAACACTTCTGCTAGACTTACCAGTGTCAGTCCACCACAGCTAACAGTGCTGTTTCCATATCCACTTAAAACGGAGACTGCAGTGTCCAGTGAGGACCTCTATTTGGTCAGCTTGGATAAACTGTTTTTGTTACTTACACTGAGGCTGGCATCATGTCTTCATTCGTGCCTCAAATAGCACCCAGCACCTTGTTAGTTGTTAAATATCAGCTTTAAGTTCACTGGTAATCTTCATGACACCATCTAATTGAAAAGATGGCGGCACAGGCTGGCAGCTGATGTTACTTTGGGGTTAGAAGATCTAAAATATGGTTATTTGGCATGGGATCTGTCTTTCCAGTTGCTACTGTGTCCTGTACTGCCTTGCTTGAAAAAGAAAGACCACTAAACTAAAAAAAAAAAAAAAGGAAGGAAATTTAGCACTTTGCAGTAGAATCAGATTAATGTCTTTGGAGGAAAAGAGGAAAATTTAAGACATCACAATAAGGAATCCCCACTGATGAA